TACATGTTCCGGATCATATTCGACCAGATTTGGATGAATTTTTCGATAGTCTTACATTTTTTGTAAAAAAACTTAATGAATGGGATAAAAAATTCTCCCTTTGTATACTTCGGAATCTAATATGGCCTTGATACATTTACTCTTAATGCCTTCTTGCTTCCAGAAGTAATCATTGCACTGGCTTATCCAGCATTGCTTAGGGGGCATGACTTTCGGCACACCCATGATCACAAAAGCACAAGACCTAGAGGCACATAAACAACATTAAAAATGAAAAACTTGGTCGGTTCTTTTTAAACATATAACACGTCAAAGGAGGTTATAAGGGTGCCGGATAAAAGAGAAATCTCTTGGAGATTCACGGCCAAAGGAATCAAAGACTAAGGCAGATTAAGTCATGGGCTTCCTGGTACTACTGTCTATATTTACCTTCATTTGGGCCGGTAAGAGATAACTTTCCTTGAATTAAAAATTGCAAAAAGTAAAAAATAATATTACTCGACTCTGTTTTGGCTTAAAAAACAAAACTGCATCGCGCATTAAATATTGTAATAATGTCAAGTGCTATTTAAAATGTTATACGTTGATCAATATGCTGCATGGTTGGTGGCCTTTGTGTGGCTATAATATTTCATTAGCTACGATTGCGACACTGAGCATGTCCTCAGAACTGCCACTCGTCATTTCTACTGACCTGCACATAGAATCTGAAACCTTATTAGGAATTCTAAGATTACTTTGACAGGTGATTCCCATAGTATGCGAATCAAGCAAACGTGACGCGGAAAAGGTAAGTACGTGATGGCATGTCCTTTGGTATATACCTTCTGTTCTTTTCTTACCTGGGGTACTTTGCTTACAGCATGAGCTGCTGTGCTTTCTTGAGGTGCTTGGCGAACTTCAAATCCTCTATGTGTTGGATGTGTTTTGCTTACTTGAGATTTTTTTTACATATTAAAGGCGCTTTGCGTGCTCGAGTGGCTTTTCTTGTTTGTAGTACTACGGTACACTATACAAGTGCAGTATGCGATAGTAATCGAAAAAGTAGTTAGCGTGGAATTGGATTTCCTGGAATTCTCCTATATTTCCAGGCATTACTAATTTTCTTCGCCTCTATTAGATCGGATAAACAGCACTTCCCTATGACCAGCGCAAAGTACATTTTTGCCTTTATTTTGCACTCAGGGAATCTAAAGCGGATCTCTGCTGGGGACTTTGGAGCTTGCAATTATACCGATTTTGTAGCAGAAGCTGTAGGGGGCTGTGAAAAGAAATTCTACTCTAACTTGGCAACGGATCTGACTGCAGATTGTAGGTACGTATAAGGTATGCAGCAAACTTTTCATGAGTTAAAAAAAAGACTCAAAAAGCCTTGAAGAATGTGAATCTTCTATTCAAAGCTTTTTACTTTGGTCTTTTTCACGACATTAGTCTGTTTAAGCGGTTGTTGTGTTGTTGTTTTTTTCGTTGATTACAATATTTTTCTTGATGACCGTAGTTATCTGTCTAAAAAGTTAATTCAAATGATCCTGTCACTGGGCGCTTTCCAAAACTTTGTATATTTCGTCTTTTTTCTTCACAAAAATCCGCTTGTTTTTGTCAACGTGAGCATACTATTCGCGACAGTCCCTTTCACTTTCGCGGAATAAGATACGGAGTAATGGGACTGCGCCAGGAAGTTGAATGTTTAATACGTCCCAGAGAACCTAGACACTTGCCAAAACTTAAATCCAGGTCCGAAAAACCCAAAGAAGAGAAAACCTAGTTCTCCAACACTGAATGGAGGAACAAAAAGGACTAACAAACCTAGAGTGCAGTAAAACAGCTAGACTTCTGAACCTTGCTGACAGCCGGGTAAGGAGGTCAACCAGGGAATAAGTAAATAAACTGGAGATAAAGGGTCCAAGGTAAAAAGGAAACCTAAAGCACAGAAAGAACGCGAGGAAAACTCACTCAGGATGGCAGCCTGAGCGTCAGTAATCCGACTAGGGCATTAGACACCGTTTCTGGCTACCATGGAAGCGCCGGAAGAAAAACACTTGAAATGACGACACCAAGAAAGAGTATATAGAAAGACAACTAGGGAAACAAGCGAGCAAAAATACGGGGACCAGGCAGTAGACCCGAAAACGCACAGTTTGCTAGGCAAAGTACGAATAACGCCGCCACCGGATAATGAACCAAAAGCAAAACATTATTGTGTAAAACCTTAATGGATCTCTAGGGAAGGGTAGGAAGCAAACCGGGTGCATATAGCGGAGAAACACAAGTGAGCTAAAGTTCATCTGCACTGGCGCTTGAGCTGGTTGGAGCAGAGCTGCAGCTTGTGTAACCTTGGTCGGGGCGGGACGGTTTTGTCAGCCATCTGAATAATACAAGAACCGGATAACAGAGCGAATGGATTCTTACGCGAACTGGGCCGAAACGAGCTGCGGAGCTCTTATTTATACTCGCGTTGCAAGCGACTGCTGCGAATAGTACTTTTATTGGGGATAAAACCCGTTCACTCTGCTCATGCTTCAAAGTAACGCTTCTTTTTAGTGATAACATGATGAAAAATATATTTGATTGCGTTATTTGTGATATCTCCTGACAGAACTTGCTATTCTCGGATGGAAGTCTGTTTTGCTGAAAAAGCCAGAAAATGTCTCGAGGGACACGTAAGTGACGCGTTACTTGAAAGGATGATCAACATATCGCTGCTGGTCCAAAATACCATGGGTTCTTCTCAGTGGTACTGCACCAACAGAACAATGAATATTAGTTCCTTGGATCCAGACATAAGGAAGCTGATACCGTGTAGTGATGACATGTTTATCGCAGGGCATCAATGCACCGAAAAGTTTCGTAGAATTTTTAACGCCAAGAGAAACGATCCCAGATTGTGCCAGTAAGTCCTCGAAATGTAAGGGACGCCACATTAATAACGTGGTGTTCCGTTGTTAGTTGTGCTGAGTAGTAAAGTAAGTTTGTGAGTAAGATAAGTATATGTTTCTCAAATAAATTGTCCATGCCTGGACTCAGCTTAAGAAAGAAGAAGCAGTAACATAACATAGACTGAATAAACGTTAATTTATTTAACATAAAAAGTTCACGGAAATGACTCGAGAGACACCCAAGTGACCCGCTACTTATTTAACCAGAAGCATAGGGTTACATACTTCTCGTAACAAACGCGTAAAATAGCACAGCATAGCACTTAATAAATTAAATCTAACAATGTTATAGCGATATTTTACAAAACATAACTTGACATGACATGACATAACGTTCATTTAAAATATTTCCCGGATTCTGATTGGCTAAAAGCACACGCATAATTCACCTTAACCAGCTACTGATGACCAAATTTGGAAGAATTTTGCGATTAATGAACCGATTACGTCAAAAGTGCAGCTTTCTAATGTACCGTTAACCAAGAAGACCTGGGGACGAGGTTGAATTGTTTTGGTTGTGAAAACAAAAAAGGCGGACATTTCACTCGTTCAAGAGTAAGAACTAGGCGAAATAATAGCTAAAAACATGGCAAGAACAGCAAGTAGACAACTCGAAGGACGACTTCTGCTATTTGGAGAATATTTGCGCAGCTGAACAACCCTAAACGTGCACTATCGAGGATGAACTTAACATCGATGGAGGTAAGCATGTCTTAGCTATGTTTTTAAAATAAGAATTATTTTGAATGAATAATAAAACAATGATTGAATTCGGCTTTCGTATCATATGAAGAATTATGGAGATCTCGGTACGGCCTCGACGGATAACACCCACCTCGATCTCCATAATTCTTCATAAGATACTCTGCTTCATTCGTTAACTGTTAATTAATTCAAAAACCTCATAAGAAATTCGCGAAAACGTTTAGTAATTACCTGAAAAAGGGGTGATGAGGATTGCATTTGATTTAGTTAGTAGGACTTTCTTCATCCTTCATTTTTGATCATTATATAACTTTTTAACTGATCCTGACACTCATGACATATCATCTTTTACCTTGCTGCACGCATGTCCAGAGTATATAGTATTTACTGTCGCTTGAACCTGACCTCTTCTGAGTTAAAGATTGCTTCTCCTTCAAATGTCAAGAATGCTCTGAATTTGTGCTTTCGTGCAAATGGTCCAAGCTCACAAAAAGCGAGAATGAGGCAATCACAAACCGGCGAAAGCAATTTAGATTTCCAATAGCTGTAAATCTACGGGACAATTTTACGACATGACTGTAAGGATTTTAAATTCTTCATATCTTGTAAACTAGATTTATTTAAGCCGCTAGAAACATCTGCGGACCTCTTATATAACGCCTTCATATATTTGTAGTTTTAATTTAATATTGCATATATCGAAATATCAATACCATAAGGGGATGGTTGAGACTTTATCCTCTTCTTTACTGTCTTCTGTTAAAGTTTGCATTCTTCTGCCGTTTATTATTATTGTTATCTTTCACCTTTATCTTATGCCACAAAAAATAAATTAACAAATAAATAAATAAATAACTGAATAGAGCCGAATGTCTTCTAAGCACGTCCTTCTGAATTATTTGCCAGGGCCTTCTCCTATGCCAGGTACTGTAGCCAGAATGTTTTGAATCGCCACTGCAAGTCCAGTGTATTCGTCCCCACAAGTGACCGGTTCAACCCATTTTGTCATGACTTAGATTTTCATCAAGAGACCACGGTTGGTGTCGAAGCCTCAAAAACATCCAAAAATGAAACACATACAACGTCTAAACCTCAAAAGCCTGCACGCAGCGTTGCTTCTCACACCTCAAGGCTTCTGTCCCGCATATTAGGAGTTACTGTGGGTGTTGTTAACCTAAAGGCTACAGCAAGAAGATTTGGCACCAACTGAAGACTGGATTGGACCGCTAAAAACTGGGTTTTATATCACGGAATATGGACCCTGGGCAGCACTGACACGGACAGCTTTGCTTCCACTAATAACGATAAAAAACAATAATAATAATAATGATAATAATAATAATAATAGTAATAAGAATGATAATAAAAAGTTATAAAATCAGAAATACGTTCACCCGTTTTTTTTAGAAACCTGTCGAATCGGATGCCTTGCACAAGTAGGTCGAGTAGAAGATCTGTGGCCAGAACGTGCAGAATAGTGTGTCAGAGATTAAATCGAATGTAAGGTTTCCATTTCTCAACTTGAGAAAGAAGATTTGTAGGGGGTCACACACCTATACAAAAAAATTCGGAGGTGTCTTCCCCCCGCCCCCCCTGGGACCAGTGCTGCGTTCCTGTGGAGATTGCCTTGCTAGGAATTGAGAAATAGACTATTTTCGATACATTAAAATAATTCATACTCGGCTCCGAGGCTTGGGGGAATAAAACAAAAGAAATGTATTATTCATTGCAGAGTCTCAAGATGATTTCTTTTTTTTTCCCCAAGCCTCGCAGCAAAGTATGAATTTTAATATATCGGATTTGGTCTATTTATTTGCCTTATTTTTTCAAGGAAACAAGATCTAAGAAGACCAGATGTTACAATGATATACAACTGAAAATACTTAAGGAAAATAGTTTTTTGTTGTTCGGAGGTGCTTGGATTTTGTGAACTTCATTTTTCATTTTTTTCCTACTGCATCTCCTTTAATTTCTAAAAGTCGTTAAAAGATTTAAATTCACTACATATTTCTGCTCCTGTCTAGATATTAGATTAAATTCCAATTTTTCGACATTATTCTTGAACATAAATAAATGAGTAGTGGAATGTATTGAGGCGAGAAGTTTTCAAAAAACAAACAAACTAACTAACTAAATGCATCTGTTTCAATGCCCGTGTGTTGAAAGTCAAAGGTGCATGAAGCAAACATATTTTACCTTGATCACTTGTCACAGTAATATACAACTATCCCCCGAAGGGGAGGTGAATAGTTGTAGCAAATACACGGAGACGCGAAGCGTCGAGGTCAATATCTTAAACGCTGTTCACCGACCCTGAGGGGGGTAATTGTTTTACTATTTACCATCATGATAAGCTGATTGTCGTCTTGAGTCTGATTTGGGAATAACTGACAATGCGCTTGCCTGGTTTAAGTGGTATCTATCTGACCGGTTCCAGCGTGTCTCTGTAAATGGTAGTCTCTCCAATCAGTTTCCTTTGAAACAAGGTGTTCTTCAAGGTTCACGTTTGGGTCCCTTGCTTTTCAATATCTACACGCGAAAACTGTTTCAGCTGTTTCAGCCACCTCCCACAAGTCCACTTCTACGCGGACGGTACACAGTTGTATGTATCATTCAGCCCTAATCGATCTGCGGATACAGATTTTGTCATCAAGTCCATGACTGACTGTATCAGTGATATTAGGAGTTGGATGAACAGAATTTTTAATTATAGATACTAGGCAGCAGCTGGCAAAGATTAACATCAATTGCATTAGGGTTGAGTCGACTGATGTTTGTCCTGTAACAGTAGCTAGAACCCTGGGATCATGATTTGATGAGTAGCTTACTATGTCAACTCATTTTAGCAAGTTATGTGGTGCTGCCTTTTATCATTTGCATAATATCAAACGTATTCGCAAGTATTTGTCTCGAGAATCAACGGAAATGCATGTCCATGCATCGATTACATCTCGTGTTGATTATTGCAACAGTCTTTTATATGGGCTGCCCACACCTAACAGCTTAATAAATTGCAGAGAGTTGTGAGCGCCCGCCAGCCAGGCTAGTTTGTAATGCGCCTATGTTTTGCCACGTCTCACCCCGTATGCCTGGTCTGTATTAAAGCCCGGATACAATTTAAGATACTGCGTATTACGTTCAAAACAATTCACGGCCTTGCCCTAAATATCTAAGCAAGTTACTAAATTTAAATCGTCTTTATATAACCTTAGCTTTTCAGGTAGTATTTTACTTTCTATAGCAGCTGTTCGATCAAAGACTACGTTAGGTGACAGAGCTTTATGGTAGCAGCGCCAATGCTCTGGATTCTCTTCCAAAAGAACTCCGCACGATTACTAATGTGAACATTTTAGAACTGTATATTGGTGATCAATTTTATTTTCAGTTACTTACTTGCGTGCATATATTATATTCTTTTTATTGTTATTTTTTAAATGCATTTTTTGGTTGGTTTACTTGTAAAGTAATGTAATTGTAATGCGAAGCTGATTATTCTCATGTTAAGTTGCGCAGAATATGTTCATAAATTATTATTATTATTATTATTACCAAATCAGTTGAATAAAAAAAGTAACTTTTTGTATATTAAAAATATCACTTAGTTGGAACTTTGTTTACAATTTACAAACCTTTTGGGGATCTTGTCAAGTATATTTTTACGATTTGGTTGCAATATCTGCATGAAAATAATTTTCTACCTACCGGTAAACACCGAAAAGCCAAAGTTTGTTGCTGCCTTGGTATTTGTTTCGTGTATGATTGCTCCATTTATCGCTCAAATTTCGTCTCGAAAATGTGTCGAAACGAGACGCCATCTTGGCTCCTGTCGCAAAACAGTGAATAGCCAAGGATATTCCGAGTGACGCGCAATCACATCAAAACGCGCCAAAATTGCTATTCACTGATTTGGAAAATCTACTAATCACTGATAAACTTGAGCTCGACGGTGTGCTCATTTTACGTTACCTGAGCTGTATCCTCCGTAGTTCGTTTTTGTCAATGGTAATGTCTTAATATATTTTGCTTCTTTTAAACAAATATGAACAACGAAATATTTAAGGGTAAAAAGCAACGCTATTAAAACACGAAGTTTTAACGACGACATGTCACCATTATCAAATAAAAGAGATTATTATCCTTTCAAAATATTTCCCTGATTCTGATTAGCTAAAAGGAACATACATAATTCACCATAACCAGCTACTGATGCCCAAAGTTGGAAGAATTTTGCGATAATCAACCGATGACGTCAAAAGTGCAGCTTCCTTGCAGGTTAATGCACGTGACCGAGAAGACCTGGAGACGAGGCTGAGTTGTTTTGGTTGTGAAAACAAAAATGGCGAATATTTCACTCAACTAGGCGAACTAATAGCTAAAAACATGGCAAGAACAGCAAGAAGACAACTCGAAGGGCGACATCTGCTATGTGGAGAATGTTTGCGGAGCTGAATAACCCTAAACGTGCGTGCACTATCGAAGATGAACTTAACATCGATGATAGTAAGCATGTTTTAGCTATGTTTTTAAACTAGGAATTATTTTGAATGAATAATAAAACAATTATTGAATTCGGCTTTCGTATTATATAAAGAATTATGGAGATCTCGGAGGGTGTTATCCGCCTAGGCCTCGACGGATAACACCTACCTCGATCTCCATAATTCTTAAGATACTCAGCCTCATTCATTAATTGGTAACTATGAAACGATATATACATTGTACATGTATGTAGGAAACGAAGGTGTAAAACGGAACATTAAATTAGAAGAACAAAATAGTGAAATTATTAAGTGAAAAGTTTTGCTGGATTGGAGTCGGCTTGAGTATTTAAGGTGGCTCAGTCTGAGCCGTCTAGTACGGCGCGAGCTTTAAAATCCGCGCGACGTCCACGCAAAAATAAAACAAACATGGCCTCTTAGTTTCGAAATATTCTCCCCAAAAAACTTTACATTAACTTTCTGTTGAAGCTCATTGTACAAAAAGTTAGGTTATTGTAGGTCAAACATTTATGAGAGGAGAAAATGTTACACCGGTTACAAGTCACTATCAATCTCCATGAGTGTAATTTGTATGGAAAAACGAAGCAGAAATTTTCCAAAGACATCAATTCTTCCGTACGACCCCAAAACACGCGTGTTTTTCGGATTTTTGTGACGTCAACGCGGTTAATTAACCGTTAGTTTCTCGTGTTTCCTTCGGTACATTTTTTAAAAAAAATGCCTCATTTCTTAGCAGTTGCAGTACCTTTGTACTGTCCTTTTTTGGTTAATATCTGTAAGAGCTAAATTCCTCTGTTAAGAATGTTTTTTCCACTTTAAAATGTTAAGCAATATGTTTAAGATAAAGAGGCAAAATTTAAAGACATTTCACCAAGGGAAATAAGGAATATTAAGAAAAATGATCAAAAATGACAAAATTACTACCTGGATGCGATGTTGCCATGGCAACAGCCTTAATCCAGAAAATGAAACTTGATAAAGGAGCCTTCTCATATGGGTAACCTTAGCGGTGAATCTCGTGAAGAAAATCGCAAAGACAAAGTAACTAGATTTCCTTCTGTAACGTATGCTAGATAGCTAGTTAAATTAGAAAATACTCTAAGGAGCCACTTTAAGGTTGGTCTCTTAGTTAATTAACAACATCTCATAAATAAGGCACTCAAACTTTCCTCGGCATTTCTTAATGATCTTAAAACACTCAAACCGACTCCATTCCAGCGATACTTTTCACTTAATTATTTCATTCTTTTGTTCTTCAAATTTTATGTATTTCTGACAGTGTGGTATAACGGAACAGACAGAAATACCGGCACGAACAAGAGGACGGGGTCGGCTAGGAGGAATTGTGGGTATCTTTTTTAGATATGTTTAGTTGTATGTTGCAAATTTGAATCAGTCTTCGTCAGCATTCATTCGAGCTCCTCACTTTTACTTTATTTACCAATCTAATTTGTTATATTTGTTTAAAGGCATTTGGCAGCTAGGTTTTGCGTTCCTTTGTCCCCGATTTGTCGACAACGCAGCTGATTTCAACAGGTGAGGCTGTTCGTTCCCTTTTTTCCCGCGTATCCGGGGGTGTCCTACTTAGTCCCTTTCGAGCTTTGCTTTTCTTCATAGGGTTCGAATATGAAAGGCCACTCAAATAGATAGTTAATTCCGAAAAATAGTTCGATTGACGTGACGCGGATATACTTGCTAGTCACAAACAATTACTTCCGAAATGGATGATTAAGCAAGCTCATCGAAATTCTAAACGATGAGTTGTTTTTTTATTATGAATAATAACTCACGAAAACAAGTTGGCATGGAATACGTTAACTTTTTGTACTTACCATCTGTCAAATGGAACGCGATGCTTGAGTCATGCTGAAGTGTTTTACGGAAAAAGTTTTGTATTTATTACTAGGTAAGTCAGTCCGGTTACGGTTAAAACTTAAAATGACTAGCCATAAGTGTTTTCATCACGCAAAGCGTCACTATTATGGGCACTGCTGTTTAGGAACTTACAATCACCAACAATATTGTTCTTTGAGCTTCTGCTTAATACTTAGTGTTATAAGGTACTGATCACACTTATGTCTCGGTTATGTTCTTTTCATATGTCGATAAAATCTTACAGTAAGTGGGAAATGAACGCAATTAAGGAATGTTTTGTAGTGCTTTATTTGAAGATGTAAACAGACGAAACGTTAGTCAATTACACCAGATTTTTTAATTAATCTCAGTGATCGAAAAAGCTTGAGTAGTGCTGCCTTTCAACATAAAAGTTGGTGACGTTGGACGGCGGGACGGTGTCACTTCACCATGAAATTTACTCCCGTTTTCGTCGGTGAATTTTGGTCGAATTATTGCAATTTTTGGTCGAATTATCGCTTAATTATGCTGTGGAATATTATGATAGTGGGAATGAAGTTTTACCATGGTATCCATGGGGCAATTCCGCGTCAAAAATGATGATCCGGGGAATTATTGTTCATGCGATGGCTGTGAAAATTCGTTTATAATTTGACCAATTGAATGATTCAGTTAAAGACTAAAGGATTTATACCTCCAAGGTCGAAAGTCAATGAACTTTTTTAAAATAAAAGGACTAATGGCCATACTAATGGCTTTCTCTAACAGCTTCTGCCGGGTTTTAACTGAGTATGTTTTTGAAAAGAGTGATTATGGAGGAATCCTCATCTGAGTGACCAAGCAAATTCTATTAAATTCAAATGCGTTTTCGTTCTAGTTTTATCCTTTCATAATCACAGGAAAGAAACCGTTCAGATGATATTAAATAACACTACTTTTCAGTGTTAATGATAGAACGATGTCGGGGACTTCAAATGGTTGGAAGTTGCACTTTTCAAGTTTATATCGACAAAGCTCGACAGTGTACAACGGCCTTTATTAGTACGCTACAGACCGATAAATCTGTGGATTGCAGGTAAGCTATGATTTAGTTTTCCTCCAAATCAAAACGCTTTCCCTTAAACTTCACTCAATTTAATCATGTTTACTTATCCCTTTACAATTGACAAGTCTTTTGAAAAGATCACTATTTATAGGTCGTTTGATTTCTACTGGTTCACATGTGTGGGTTCATATTTGGAAGATTGTAGAAGTGACAAGATCTGAGAAACATCACGATTTTCAGAGTAGATAGCATCGCACAATACCATGATACTCTCTAACTGACAATTAGAATCGCTAGCCTTAAACAAAACTTTTATACCAGCAGTGCAGCAAAGCGTGGAAAAAACAAAATTGAAAAGATGTATATTGTGAAATCATTTTCTAGAGTCGTCTATAACAAAATGGTGGAATGTACAAAGGAGTACGTCAGAGATTGCGTTAAAGACCATGTGCCTGCTAATGACATTGAAGCGTTTCTAAACGAAGCAGCAAAGAAACTGAAATCTGAAGACTTCTACTGCACGGATGGACTTTTCTCACCTTCTGTTTTAACAGACGAACAGAAAAGGGAAATACCATGCAACGAAACGTTTTATAATCAGTCAGAAGTGTGTGGAGATACATTTCAAACCAAGTTCAGAGGCAACAGGGCAGATAAGACGCTTTGCAAGTATGCTGAATCAGTGCATGTTTATAGTTTGATTATGTTCTTTTGTTCTGTGAAGATACTCTATAGTTATTTTGTATGTGACCTCTCGATAATGAAAGTAAAACGTTTTTTTTTTAAAGTTCTAGGTCTTTGTCGCATTTACAGAAAAATTATTAGAGTCTCAATAAATGCCGTGTGATCTAAACATGTCTTGTTTGGATCTTCAGTGGTAGAAAGGCATTAATGAATGCCACTGATAAAGCGTTCCACCCGAAATATTTGGAAATTTTCCCTAAATTCGACACTTGCACGGAGTTTACATTGTGTTCTGTAGTTCTTTTAAATAAAAATTTGGACTAAGGTTAAAAAAAAGAAAAAACACGTTTCCATTCATCTCACAAGGCAAATGGAGTACCAAAACAGTAAAAATTAGTGCTAGTATTTACTGAATTCGTTACATTTTGATTTCCTACTTAATTGATTGATTGAATTATCGTCATCATCAAAACGTCCTCCCTAAAATGCATTTTGTTAAAACTTTAACTTTAATCGGCATACTTTGGAGCTATTTCGGAGTTGAGGAGTACAAAATGTTTAGTCAGACTATTATTTGTGACAAGAGTAATATATCAAAAGGTGCCAAAATCACCAACAACAAAACAGAGGTAGACGTTTGGGTTTATAACCCTTACCCTTGTCAAGTAAGGAAGGAAACCGTCCTAAACTAAACCTTACCACAAAATGACCAGTGAGTTTCGCCCTATCATAGTTAGTAGAGGGGACTAATTATGAAAGTCGGCGAGCTTCAAGGAGCGAGACAATAGAGCCATCTCCGATGTTGAAAGTAAAAGTCACGTGATCGCGGATGTCCCTTTCACTAGTATATGGCCCCACGTTAGGTAATGCGAGAAAGTCTTGGATTCCGGATTCCTTATCAGTGAAACTTGGATTCGAATTCCGGATTCCAATTGTTAAGCGGATTCTGGATTCCTTGAGCTGAATTGCGGATTCAAAAGCCAAGGATTCCGATTTCTTTAAAAAATTATAGGATGCGGGAATCCGGATTACCTTGGGGTTCCCTACCGCCGCCAGAGCGCTCTAGGAGAAATTGCTCGCAGGCTATACATGGGGCGAACTAGCTGTTTTCGGAAAAAGATCTAGAGCGCCTCAGTTTTCTTAGATTGGAAATAATGCGACTTCAACTTTAGGAATTTAGCGTTTGGCCTTATTATTAACTTTATATATGAAAGTTTTTTTTAGCAAGAAAGTGTTTGTGGTAAGAAAATAATGCTTGAATATATTCGTTTTACTCAGGGAATTTGCAGACGCCAAGTCATGTTTAAAAGAAACAGTGACTCAGTATTGCCAGTTTGATTCAAATGCAAATGAGATATTACAGTCTGCTTTTGATGACTATAACCCTTTCTGCAATGTGTCTTTGGAAGAAGGTAAGTACCATTGTTCTCCGTGTATATTATTGAATGTTTTAAATGGATGGGGTAAAAAAGCTGACAGAATAAGGGGAATCCCGGGGGAGGAATGAGGAAAGGAAGGTATGGATGGTATGGTGAGTGCCTGGTTGCTTTCCACGCTTTTCATTTATTTATCAGTCACTGAAACTCTTTCGTTAAAAAAGGGCTTCCGATTGTGTGTGCAGAGATGAAGAAAGATTCTTGGCTCAGTTAACACTGACTGAAAAACGAGTATACTAGCTGAATTGTGAAAGGCAAATGTTACAATTGCGAAACCTGAAGCGTTTCTCAAACTTAAGATGTCTTCAACTCAACTGCGTGGCTAATAATTGGGTCAAATTTAAGATAAACATCTCTTACCTTCTGAATGAAAGAATAACAAAATTCTCTTGCTTGAGATGCTCACAAGCGTTTCGACACGAAAGTCAAATACCCAATTGGGTGGGCCTCATTTTGGATCAAAAACTCCAGTCAAATGCCAGGGTATCCCCGGTGGGAATGGGCGGTTTTGGAATTGCCTAGTAAATTAACGACGTTTGGTCCTTGTTTGATTAGTCACTTTCTCAGAGGGGTTTAAATTAAACTTTTTTCCACCAAACAATTTAGCGGGCCTATTGGTTCCAATTTTTTCTGTGATTGATAACACTGCTTATGCAAAATATTTTTGGGAAAATAAGGTGCATTATAAGCATTGTCAAGTTGCCTTACCATCATTTTTTTACAATTTTGTTAGTAAATTGCTGTTTTATATGATCAATTCACAGCTGGAGGGGAGGGAGCGGAAGGTGGTTATTCTATCCCAGATGCCAGATCAAACGAGGAAGAACTTGATGCCGTTGGACAATGCTCAATAATCAAACAACTAAACAGAACCCGTCAGTGTATTACGCTGTTTATAAGAAGCCTGCAAGCAGATCCTTATGGAAATTGCAGGTGAATGAAATACAATTCAGGTTCAAAATAAAAACGACAAAATATATGTTTGTCCATGTCCTCGCGCGTCTAGCCTTCCTGCGCTTCTCTCGCTTGGCAAAAAGAAAAAGGAAACGGCTGCTTCCCAGGCTATTTTATTATTATCGTTTGAAGTGAACCAGTGTCAGTTATTGACTGGCAGTTCAGGTTTAGTATTTCTTGTCACTAACTTCAGCTGATTTTTGTGCAGAGCCAACAAATACAATAAAAGCACAACTTAGAAATTAAAGGATTATTTAATAGCTTTTTGAGTATGTTTTTAAATCAAAGCTTTATTCTCAGATGCAGTGAACGTGGGGTGAGCCCCTTTCACTAAACCAGCGACGATAAATTATACTCACATGACATTTGCGTAGTTAAAAAGGGGTGAATGAACTTGGAATCACACCCAGCCTGATATTCAGTATATATGTTCGTCTAGCTCCAGTTTACAGGGTCGTAAATGTTTTAGCCGTGCAAGGAATTTGATCTTCTCTACTTTATCAACAGCATTAAATACATCCATATGCAAGATTGTATAGTATGTGTACTCCGCACCTGCCTACAGTCATATGGATTCATCATTGATTCGGATATACAGCTTCAACTGGAACAATCACTGAACCAGACCAGCCCAGAGGATTTCTACTGCCGTGGCATGTTAGAGGCACCGAAAGTTTCCTCAGAGCACGATCATCTTGAGTGCGATGCGGGATTCCATGAGAAAGAAGTAAAGTGTATGAAAGACTTTAACGATACCTTTACTGCCAATGTCTCGGATTCAAGTCTTTGTAGGTAAGGTCTTTAGCTCTTTTGTCTAGGAGAGATTTGTACGAACATGGTGTGGAGAGATAAGTATAGGTTTACTACCAAATTCACTGTATTAAATTCCGTTAAAGTTGATGAAAATGGAAAAAAAGTAATAATCATTTGTAAAGGTACTCCAACAATAATCTACAAATATTTAGTGAGTAAAGGAATCAATGAGGGAATTTTCATGTTTTTCGCCGCTGAAAGAAAAACCCAACTAGTATGGAAGTAAGGGAAAGCACCACATGATCGGTGACAAAGATGCAAGTCAGCGCTGTGGAAAAATTAAGACTTGAAATTACATCCGTATAAACGGACTACCCCAATATGAAACAAATCAAGGTGTGTGGAAAACATGGCGTGCATTCAGTCCTCGATGGATTCAACGTAGTGGTACCAGACCACTTTTGTTTCGGCAGTTTCCAAGTATCTGATATGAAACTTGCAGTTGTAGAAAAAGCTTTGTAGAGAAAGCTTTGACTTTAATTCCTGTGTCATTTAATTACAGAAAATTCACTGACGCCAAGCGGTGTCTCAGAGATCTAATATCCACTAGCTGTCCAAATGACACCAGGACATCTTCGCTTGAGTTTGCTTTAGTTTTTGATGACTACAATCCTTTCTGTGAAGGAAGCAGGGATTTAGGTAAGATAATAACGTACGTGCCAGGCTTTTCGTTCACTAACGATTTTTGGCGGTTGAAAGTTTTCCATTCTGGGATTTTTTTGAGAAGAAACATTAAGCAAGTTTTTGGGGGTACCTTGATTTAAGCAGAGATGCAATATTCTGCTAACATGCTTTTATTACTACCAAATTCGTTATATCTCACTGCCCGTTTTGCAAATTCGAAGGACTTTCGGCTTTTTCTGTTCCACCAATCATTTGAGTGGGGACGGGGTTAATGAAAATCACAATACTTGAACGCGCTTTTATTGCCCAGCATGGCCGGCAAGAACAAAAGTGATAGCGGCGAAGGAAATCGCGATGGTGATTTGAATATTTGTCAAGGGAAGGAGGCAGACATTGCTTTTTTTCTTGCAAGTGACAAAAATAAGAAAGATCAAAAAATGTTCGAAGCGAAATAGTCGATTATAGCCCGAAACTGGACGATCTCAAGCAACGAACCTTGAAACACAGAAACAAACCAAAGGGATGGAAATCCACTGATCAAAAATTACAAACCATGACCTTTTAAACTCGTTTAAGAAAACATGTGTTTCCTAAAAGGTCTGCTAAGATGATTGAGGGAACAGAAAATTTCCAAATTCCTTCAAAGTTTGCTAAACGCGCAGCGCGATACAACGTATTTATCAGTATGCAAATAAAATAAAAAAAAATTCATTATCTACATGAGAAAACCTAAACTGAATTCTACTTAGTATCCCAATATTTTGGGCCGTGAATAAAATTTGAAATACTTTAGAGACTTAGAGGTCTTTAGACTGGCGTTACCGTAAGCGCAGGCTAAATCTATGCTCTGGATAAAGGGCCGCTCAGACAATATATGGACGTCGATGCCAAGCTGATGCTAACCATTGTTTTACTTCTTCGTTTGATATGAATATTTTGGGGAATCAAAAAGAGACTTTTGCAAAGAGCGGACACATTTGAACCACATTTATACTGCACGCTGTTGTGGATAAATTTTCGTCTGTAGGTGAATGCATAGCGAAGTAACGAAAGGAGGAAGCGAACCAGCGATACGAGTTACATGTACCTTAAAATATAATGCTTCTTCTTTCTTTTAAAAAATGTAGATTCATCATCGTCTGCTTCTGTAGAAGAGTTTCAGGAGCCCTGCTTGGTCGAATTTCCAACTGCAGAGTTGTTGCAGCAAGTATCTAGAGGGACAGTTTACCTTCATTCTTTAAGTCTGTTACTTCTTTTGTTCTTATACCTTATTGCAACATGATTTGACTTGAAAGTCCATCCGCGTTAATCATTAGGGCCTTTCTGCGACTCAGCAAATTTAAATAATGTAAAGATCTACCCAAGCCTAAAACACGAAGCTTCCTCCAATATCCTGATAATAATAAGACTGTAAATAACTTTTTTCCCCCACGAAAAAGACCATGATACTACAGTCTACAAAAACTGTGGGTACTTATGCACGTGTTGTGCAGCGCATTCTAGATTCTGGGCGAAGCGTCCGGTAGACTTACACCTGGCACTGCAAATAACATTACAACAACTTTAAACTTTTTCCAAAAGGCTAGCTTAAGTTATTTGACAAAATTACGCGTCTTTCAGTAGAATGAAGGTCAATAAAAGACAACTCTTTTACATAGATATATTTAGGGGGAGGGAGGATGGAGTGAAGTGTAAACACCGAATCAGAGACGCAGATACAACGGCATCAGTCCAGGGAAAAAAAACGGAACAGTGATGCAAAATTATTGACTGGCAATCAAAGCACAAATAAATATTGGGAAATGAAACATGTATAATAACAACCGTTTTTATTTAAGAGGGCAGTTAGAGCCAGTGAAATGTTTCTAAAAATACTCTAAAATCCTTGTTTTCCTTGTGTTTGTTATTATTCAGCCGGCTTCGCGTTTTGAATGGCCTTTTGGGATGAATGTACCTCGAAGCAAGACTTTCGCTTAAAGCTATGTTTTTACAATCAACAAAACAACTGAGTTTTTCTTAGAACTTATTCTTACCCTCAGTCAACCAGAAAAAATGTTCAACAATGTCAAATTGCGCCAAATCTTGAAAAAATTGAACAAGCAAAATTATACAAAGCTTTAGATGATGCTAAAAAATCTTTCAGATGGTACAAAATATTTACGTATGAATTGCCTAATCTGAGCTTGAGCCTGACCCAGCTAAAAGCCTTAAAATAATTGTTTTGAAAGGTTTTGTCGTAATTCAAACACAAGAAACTACAATCATCGATTGCCTCTTGCTGTTGGTTTGCGTTTCGCTTAGACAAACGCATGGTGCACGTCTGGGATTCCCTGTCTCTCCCTTACAGTCTCCCTTCCCCGATCCTGAGAGTACAGTCTATTCGGGGAGACGAACGGGGCGTGCGTTGACGTTGACTTGATATGAATTACCGAGACCTCGAATTTGTAAATTGTAAATATCTTATTATGCACTCCCCAAAGGCTTTTCAGGGTTTATTTACAACACTGGTTGGGAACTCTTTTCAGAATGCTTATGGTGCAGTTTACAAGTTGTGAAGAAATGAATAGTAATACCCGCTATTGTGAGTGTGAATTGAACTGCAAGCTACGTCCATTTAGTTCGTTCCTAAGTCGAACATACATGCGTTCTTTTGGCAGCAATTCCCGTCTATAACTGGCATGGAGAAAGTATAGAGTGAAACTGCTTCTGAGAAGATATTGTTCCATAATATTTGAATAACCCAAGAAATCTGAACAGAAATAATGATCATGATATTTCGGTTTAATTTACAAACACGTTAACAACTGTGAGACATTTCACTCAAAATTGCTTAGGTAATCATACAGTCACAGAGTAATAGGCCGCATTATAAATTGAACGAAACGAAACAATTGGCTAAGGGGAAGATTACTTGAGACAAGCTAACCGGCCGGGCTGCTATCGCGGGTTGCCGCCTTTGGCCAGGCCGACTCGCTGTGCCGTGCTAACTTTTATCCTGGTATTAAGCTAGCCAGCTCGGAGCTGCCGTTTTTATATAGAGATTTAAAGCAGAGCTCATGAACATTGTGTTATCTGCTGCCTTGTTGCTGGTTTGGTTCGTAGGGCTGGTCTGGAAAGCGCGATTACCTGGAACTTCCAGGCCAGTCACCATCGATCGTGACATCACTAAACCGGGATTCCAGCTAACCAGGTTAGCTCGGTTGTCTTACAGCCACAAATAAGATCCTAAGACGGTTGTGTTAAATGGTGAAGACTGTCTTCCGCACTTCTTCCTTGTACACAATAGCGTTCTTTACCTTTCGGAAATCTCTGGAAATAAGTTACGTACAGATTTAGCATAAACTATTCGTATTAATAAAAAGCCTAATAAAATGAGGCCTGAAACACTACAACGCATTCTCTACACAATTTACAGTCGAACCTCTCTAATACGGACACCGAAGGGACAGAGCGAAATGTCCGTATTAGAGAGGTGTCCGTATAAGGAGGAGGCAGCGTGGCCGAGTGGTCAGCGCGTCGGACTCGCAATCCGGCGGTCCCGGGTTCGAGTCCCGCACTGGCCACTTGCTGGATTTGCGCTCGGTCGTCCCGAGTTCAAATTCTCGGCCACGCTTGTAAATAGCCAACTGGTTGCCTTCTGCCAGTTGGGGTTTTTAATCCTGTTATGTTGTATTTGAATTACTTGTTTCTAAATATTTGAGTGGAGTGCCTGTAAATTAGCTGACTAGCTAAGTGCACCTTCCACTATAAACATGCCTTTTTTTTTTTTATAAAAGGGGTCACTATGATGACGTCACTTTTATGACTCCACTTACAGTTTAAGTGTTCAGTAGTTAAAACCAGGCTCACACTCGTCTTTAAACTGCATTTTAAGTTATTAATTCACGGTACAAAGACCCTGTCTTTTAGTAGCATATAAACATTGTTCAGCTCAGCTACAGACAAACTACTTTTTTAAAAGGAAACGAGCTAAGCGCAATGCTGCATGTAAAAAGTTGTAACGTAAAGCACAATTCTGAAAGCGCCTTTTGCGATTTTGCAAGTGCAGTAAAAAGTACCTAGAGTACAAAATGTAATAGAAAAGATCTTTATGCTATCCGTAGTTGATGAAGCCTTCAAAAAGTCGGTTATGTTCCTCTGTACACCTTTCGCAAATCGTTGTTTGGTATGCAGCTACTGGGCTTTAAATCACCTTGCATAGTTCATCAGCCAGACTAGACGGGATTCACCCTGTGCAGATTTACCTGACCGGGATTCGGGATTCACCTGATTACCGCAGTGTCCGTAATAAAGAGGTTAAGTTTATATGAATTTACTCTCTGGGGTGGGGTTTAGCGTACGTTGTCCGTATTAGAGAGAGTCCGTATTATAGAGGTTTCTTTAAAGAAAACATATGAGAATTTTGTCGGGACTTGGAAGCTGTCCGTAATAGAGAGGTGTCCGTACCGAGAGGTTCGAAAGTATTGAATCTGACACAAAATAGTTCAATTAAGGCAAATAAGTAGAATTGTCTCTTGAAGGCTAAACTGTCCACCAAGCCGTTTTCAGCTCAACATGGAAAAATTGTTAATATGTTATGGTCAGCAGTTCTTCGTGGGCGTTTGTCACGCAGTTGTCCATGCCAGAATCTGGGTTGAAAATGTCCCCACCATGTTTGGAGGATTTCATGATGGAGCATGCGTGGTAACACCGCCACATTTTACCAGAAGTTGAGTTTACTCTGTCGAACAAGGCTCTTACTGATCCGGTACAGGAGGTTGAATTGATGACGTGTTTCTCATTACATCTGTGATCACGTCGAGACAGAACAGTAACATCTGCATTAAAAGCATGCACAGAGAAAAATGTAATTAACAGTCTCTTGGCTTCTATTAAGCGGCTAATTTATACTTTCGGTACAAAGTTCAGTATATTTTAAACTTTCTAAAGTGTCACGTAGCTTATCAGAATTTTTTCCGTCATTTGTTTTATTTTATACAAAGACAGCTTTTTATTTACTCCTTAACGAAGCGGAAAGGAATCTTCAGACGGTGAACTAAATTTAATTTGTGGATTTGAGCACAGTTACCAGTAAAAAGTTTGTATGAATGGGAGCTACGACGCAGTACGTTTCCAGGTAAGTCACAGGGATATAAACTAAAATACATAAGCCCTTTCTTTTGAACTGATCAGTATCAAAGAATAATGGCTGTGCCTTCTTACAATGTCTGGTATTCTCCGTAACTTCACTACGCTGATCCAACAAAAATCGCTAACATTTGTACCGAAAGTATCAATTTCGTTGAATTATTCACCGGTAGTTTCCAGATTATTCCCAGTGGTTACCTTCAGTAAATAATTTTAAATAATTTTATCATTAGGTGCTACTGGGCTTACCAGGCATACGGCATTCAGAAGTGTTCAAACGCTGAATGTCTCCATTGACGCCATTAATAAATCCACTCCACTTTACACCATCCCCTGGAATTTCCCAGCGAGCACGAGATAAAGAAGTAATGATGTTATCATCAAAACCTTTTGACCACATGTTGACCTGTGAAATAATTCCCACAAAAGCTCGAATTTCATTGAAGCTACCGTCAGCTTCGTTTAAGTCTTGTCCAATAATGAAGGTTCCTCCAGGGCGTGTTTCACCTGTTTCCGCAATCAAATTGTAAACTGATATGCCATTGAGAATGAATCTTGTACGAAACCCAAGTCTTACAAGGCAAATGTGATTCCACTGACCGTCCGTTAAGTTTAAATTCGTCACCGGCCTAAAAGAAATAATCATACTTAGGATGCAGTAAAAAACCTGAGAAGCTAAAAGAAAACTTCTCACATTACCGGGGGCGGGGGGGGGTGCGGTTAAGAGAATTGTAGCTCAATTGGACATTTTGGACTAGAAAACCACTTTTTTGGTCTTCCGACCCAATGCAGGCTCACTTTAAAAATCAAGGTGGCTGTGAGCCACAAAACTCAGAAAAAACCTATGAATTTTCCTGACACTAGTCGCTTTGTTGTTTTCTACGAAACATTTTTTTGACATCATAGATCACGTTTCATGTTACAGATCACGCCTGTTGAATAAAAGGAGGAAATGCAAAACGGGCGGTGAAACTATCGATTTGTCTAAAATCAACAAGTATGAATCGAATACATACAGGTGATTTATATGAGAATCACTGAAAATTTAGTGTTACTTTTGAACGACACTGTACAGAAATTGTTCTTTAGCGTGAAAACTTCTGTTGACATATAAGAAAAAATGGGACATGATACACGTACAGGTATATGTTAACCTGTTTCTACACCTGTGAGTCTTAAGACAAGGATATTCTATTCAAATGAAGAGAGATTATTGCAAACAAGTGTACATGAAAAGTAGCACATGGTTCTACCACGTTTTATTGTTCTGCCGGTACGTTTGTATCCACAATAATTCTTTTGAATAAACATGTACAGACGGAACAGTACTAGTGGTGGAACTATGTCTGATAAGTATTGTAACACATTTATGTCAACAGCCACTGTACAGAGTGTCTTCACTTCATAGTCGTGAGGTCTTGTACACAAAATCAGTCCTTGTTTTGCAAAAAAGAGGCTTTTCAAAATATGTATTTTTGTCGCTTAAAACGTCAGCTTAAACGAAAAAAAAAATTGACACTGCATGTTTTGAAAAGATTTTCCAAGTTTCAGCCGACAAGGGAATGGGTAAATGAAGTAAACTTGTTGAGTTGATTAGCGCGCGAAAAGCAAAACATCTTTACGTCACAACCATGTTTACATACTCTCACGCAAACACTCCTCTCGGCCAATCAGAGCGCGCGAACTATCTTAGTTGTTTTATAATATCTATTACCGGACGTACCGCGAAAAGCGTAACAGAATTATTAATTTTTCCGGGGCACCATATATGGTGCTTGTAGTTGGTAGGATTTCTACACTGACGTCACTTTGCTACAAGAAAA